GAGAACCACTTACCTTCCATGACTGATGCCGTTGGTTTCCGTAGTGGCTTGCCTTATCTGAGCACGTTGCTTTATCTAGGAAGCGCCATAAGTACGAAGAGAATAATAGCGTGGGCAGTGAGACGAAAATTCCTTGCTCATATATGATTTTAAATGATTTTCTTCGTATTTTTGTTGAGCAAACGCGAGGTGTTACTATTCTTTGTTCACGATTAAGCTGACGTTTCGGCGGATTTCGCCTTCTTCAGAGCCGTTTTCTATGAGGTTTCCCCTTAGTGGGAACGCGTTTGCTCAACAAAAATACGAAGAAAATCACTTGATCAATGCCGAGGTTAATAGAAAGTCGGTCGTGGCAGTTATGATTTTAAAGATGTACACATGAAAGTAAACAACTAGGTACGTAAATAGGCACACAAACGGATATCACTTCTATAATCATGTTAACAAATAGCACCTGAAGCTAATTTTTTGGAAATCAATGACGATTTCTTGATTACTACGGTATTTGCTGGGTGGGAAAGAACTGTGCAGATTTATAGAACAGCCTTCGATCCGTCGATATGATCTCATATGGGACTATTATACAACACTCTTCCAAATTTAAACATGTTTAGAAGTAGAATCCTCAAGAAATTCAGGAAGGAAGTTTAAGCTTTTAATATTTCGGACGCAAAATCAAGTGCGATATCCTACTAGACACGAAATTAGCGTAGCTCAAATGCTTTCGCTTTAGAAATAAGACCTTTGGAGCTGTGAAGTGGATGACATATGCGTCATAAGCATCAGAAAATTAAAAGGTCATTGTGGTAGAATAAGATGACTTTTGCATGAAATCAAAGTTCTGCAGATTCCACTGGTTCTTACATCATCTAATAGAATCTCTTCTGACCCAAGACACGATGGTCCAAAGATGAAAGCAGCAGCTAATCTCGCACAAGATCCATTGTAAACAATGCGGAGACGCTAGGCTTTGAAATCGTAATTGATCTGAATTAGTTCTGTGTGGAGTGGGAAAGCTCTTGAAAGAGGTATATAAAGTATATATATCGATTTCCGTGCTGAGTCACACAAGCGACACATCAACACAATTTATTCCCTTGCCGTCTCAGAAAGAAATACTGAGTTTGATAATTCTAGTTGAACGTCACGTACAAAGTGAATAAAAAGTTGTCAACTTGTACTCTCACTAAGGAAAACCTCATTACAATTAATCACTAAAAACCTCACCAATACATGTAGAATTCCTCTTTGTTGATTTACCACCGTCTAATGATGTCATTTGTACTTGAAATAACTGAATGGACTCCACAAATCTTGGCTGACAATTCAATCACAAATTTTTGTGTATATAAAAAATTGGCGCCAGCCATATGCTGGATTTGAACGAGCAGAAAATCACCGAAAACCGGTAAAAAATTCAAAAAATTATCAGAAAAACACCATCCCTACAGTTTGAAAATGTGGTACTTCGGTGCTCTTCACTTAACCTCTCTCTATCGACAGAAGAATAAAATGTGCTAATTAGGCCCAAACACCGCCGTTCAAGTGCCAGATGGCAATTGTGATAAACACCTAATCACTCGTCTTATCGCACGATTCGAAGTATACCAGGTGGAAAGTTGACCACAATGACATGACGAAGCAGCGACTGTGACTACCACGAAAACGTTTCCATTTTGCTAAGATGAGGCGCGTGTAGCTCAGTGGTTGGAGGTGCTTTGTAATTCACACCTAGTCATTGGTTCAATCACTCATACCGGGCTTATCAAACCTTCCATCCCTCCGGGGATCACAAACTCGTACCAAACCTGTTTAGGAGAATAGCAGAACGAGTTCGATACAACTTTTAACGTAATATAGGGTCATATATCCATCTAATCACCTCTAACAATGCTTGCTGAAGCCGAATGCATGGCGCATCCCTCGTGGAATGGTTTACGCCGGAAGCTTTATAGCTTTAGCTTTATTACAATAGATACCATTTTAATGACTAATTAAAGGGTAAAAAACTAATTAAGGCAACAAACAGGAATTGTGATTTGTTTGCCGAGTAACACACATCTACCAAAAAGCTTCGTTTATTTCTTCTTTGTGATTTTATTCTGCACCAATAAATTACATAGGAATCCTACTACCAAACTAGAAACGTTGAAATGAATTTTGTGACTGACCCGTCAATAGAAGTAGCTTTTATATGACAATTTAGGTTTGAAAGAGAAGAGACGCCTTCCGAATCGGTGTGAAAGAAAAATTAGTAGGAAAATGCGGCGATGAGTTCGAAAACTGAGCAAAGTGTTGGAAATGCAACCAAATAACAGAATAAGAAATCCTAAAAAAACGCAAGTGAAGGGCAACTTTTGTGTCCGTGCGTATCACAATACAACAATCCTGCACTTATTTATAAAATACTTAATATCAAGTGCAAATACAGAACAAACATGGTTGAAGGTGATTCCAAAAAGTATCTCAGAGCTTGTTCTTATCTCAATAATGGAGAATGATCACTGATAGAGGGATTAATTAACGTCTGTGCAATAGTGCAAAATTATTCGAGCAACACCGTAACACCGTTAATAGCACTTACCAAAAGGTCAATTTCGTCGTTACTCTAGAAAATATAGGTGGGCATAAACATGTTTCACTTTATTGTCCTTTTTTTAATATTCACGCATTCATTACTACGTATAATTTTCGTTGTCTGGAGCAAAGCTGAACTTTTGGTCGGTTGTGGGCTGCATCGAAAACAATGCGCGTCGTCCATTGTGTGCCACCATCATTATGTGTGCTCATTGAAATTAGTGCGAATAGTCTCAAATTTGTTGAGCGAACGTTATCGCACACAAACTATGACAGTGGATTTTAACAGTGCGACAGAAGGCGATGTACGACGAAGAATCAATCAGACCTTATCGGTTCGTCTCATCGTTACTCAAAACAAAATGATAAAACAAAGCAACCAACAACATGGAATGCGAAGAATTTGAACGCTTCACTCGCTTCAATTTCGGGTTCTCTTAAAAAGTATTGCATAATTTTAAGAAATCTCAATGTTTATCTTTCTATTAACTGCCTACTACAATTTTTACGGCAGGGTATTATGCGAAATCATCAACAACGATGCTGAGATATTCTCAAAATTTGCACCCCTGTCCAGATCGAAGCACGATTTCCCTTTCCGGGGTCTCGCGCATTACACACTGCACCATCGAGGCTCTTTCTCTGCGCTTTTTTCACCAAGTTTTCTGTTGACGGATAATTTCTGATGACACTGGTAGATAGAATACTAGCTGAGAGAAACGCAGGTCTCCGTGGTGTGGTTCGATCTGGCCCGTGGCCCACGTTTCGCGAATACCTCAGCATCGTTGTGGTTGATTTAGAAAATCTTATCGAAAATTAGGAGCGGTCTAAGTAAAGAAATTGGTTGGTTGGTGAAATTTTAGTCCGAAAAGAGACCTCTCGATGTGTAGATCGTTTTTCCAGAAAAATAGCTCTTCTTATTTTTACTTTCTAATAGTTCTTGATTACAACGAAATAACATGATCTAATTCCTTTTTAATTTCATTTCTCTGCGCATTAAAACTATATGAAACACCGAGACAAATTCTTAATTTAGTCACATAAAAGGATAAAAAAGGATAAAGCTCTCGGCATTGATCAATCCCTGAGGGATGCGCCATGCATTCGACTTCACTAAGCATCGCTTGTAGGTGACTGAATGCATATCTGGCTTTTACAATGACTTGCAGTGGCCTACCGATATGTCGACCCAGGCTGCTACCTTCCCAGAGAAGTCTGGTACCATTTTCGCCGACCCCAGAGTGATGGAAGGCTTGGTGGGCCATCGGGGCAGGGATCGATTCCACGTGTGTTGCAGGACGCTTCCGACCACTGCGCAACACGCGCCGCTAACTTAATGACATATTTTTAAAAGATGACTTCCCATCTAATCTTGGTACTAACAATGAATGTTTTACTCCTTTGATTGACTCGTTACAAAGTTTTGTTTACTGTACCATCCCTTCTAATGTATAGATCTTTTCAAAAAATTAGCTCTTCTTATTTCTACGTTCTAGCTGTTCCTGAGTACAGTGAAATAACACGATCTGATTCTTTGATAATTTCATTTCTGTACGAATTACAAGTACATAAAATACAGAAAAAATTCCTAAATCTAGTCAATATTTTCAAAAATTGACTTTCCATTCACTCTGGGTACTAACAATGAGTATTTCGCCTTCCTGATGAGCTTGTTATGAAGTTTTCTTTATTTCGGCCAATGCTTAGCACCTCCAGCTTGGGAACCCTCAGATCGAACATGGGTCCTCGCAGTTGCATTGAGTTGAATCCAATGGAGTAAGGTACCGTACGAATGAAACAGTCCAGAAAGGCGCTTTATAAAAGGCCACTGCCGAAAGTGGCTAGCCTACTTTCATTAACACATTCTTCTACTTGACAAAGAAATCTGACCATAGTTCTAAAAAGCACTATAAGTTCACGTTTCAAGTGCTCTCAAATCACAAAGCCTAACCGATCTTTTATTTAGATGGCAAAAACACCTCTATAAATTAAAGACAGCCGATGTCCAAGCTAAGAATTGTTAAGGCAGTACATGGGAAAGTATGACAATGTTAATGTGATAATATTTACACAACTCATCTACAATTTAAAATATTATTGCTGTGTCTTAAATCAATAACAAGGATAGGGCAATAGAAGAAAGTGGTAAGACTAGATGTTTTTTCCTTAATAAAATAAAACACTAAGAAAGGAAATTTTGATTGCGCAAAAGAGGTGAACAAGAAAAGAATCAAGTCAACAAAGCACTAAATATTGTTAGGTTTCGACTCCGTACTACATCGTTTGGAGCGAGTAAGGTACACATTCTCTACAAAACATCTTTTTAAAATCGAAAACAAAAAAATCATAAGAGTTCCTCAAAAAATGGAAAACATCTTCAATTGAGCAGAGATTGCTATAGCCTGCCTACATGCTGCTATATGTTACTGACTATAGAGACTTCGACTGAATGTCACGTAATCGAATGAGCCAGGCGGAGCATGAGGATCGTTGTAAGGCGCCATTCGTTGCATACAGTAGGCAGCTTGGTCACTTGGAAGCTCACGCCGCAACTCGTCGGCGGTGATGAATGGCTGAAAAATTTTGTCGTTCGAGCAAGGAAAAACCATAAAACACAGCCATTACTGTGAACGAAAAAGTTGAAACGTGGTGAATTCGACTGCAGCTTTAGATAAACTGAGTTCAGTAGCGACTTGTGCTTCCAGAAAAACTCCCAACGACGGGTAAAAGATGATAGTAAAGTTATGGCAAAAGAGCTACCTGAGACAAAGGCAAAGCAAGGGATTCAGTTGGTGCAGTGAATAATAGAAAAGACCCCGAAAAGTGTAGTCACGGGTTCGAAACGACACCTGATGTTCCAAGTATTGCTCATACCTCAGCATCTTCGCGATTATTTTACTTCATTTATTTCATAGCACCCATTTTTTACATCTACTGTGCGGACCTCAGCACTTCTTGCATTCCTATCGTTTCCACGCATCCACCATCCGCGAAGGTCCTCAAACTATTTGCGTGTGGGTTCGACTGATGCTTGAGGATTCTTTTTCTACTTCTTCATGGATGCCGTCCCAGGAGTTCTGAGATAGCCATGATGGAACGTTTCCACATGGATGGCAGAGTGTGAGTAATTCCAGGCAAATTTAATATCGATTTCCCGACGCCAGAAGGATGAGAGTCTTCGTGGGCCCGGTATGAGGTCGATCCAGCACCGTGTTTGCGATGAGAAGTTATGATAAGGTTTAAAAAAGACATTCGAGTTCATCCGGCATAGCACAGGTGGATGAAAGCATATCTGTCCTAGCATACCCATGTATAAGTTACTGTTTTATCCTCTTAAAAATAAATTTGCGGATCCCGAGGAGCAGAACGCTTGGTGGGCCCCGCATTCAGGATTAAACCAGAGACCGATCCTCTGTGTATTGGAGGGCATTTCTAACCATTCCGCTACACGTGCACTGAAGGTTGTCAACGCCATACTGTAACAATGAGAAGCGCTTCTGCACAATGGAAGCAGATGACGAAGTTTTGGAAATATCCAAAGTTACAAGATCAGAAAACAAACGAGAACGAAATCTTGTACGCAACGAATTCCACTGTAAAACATTATCAGCTCAACCACAATGATGCCAAGATAATTGCAAAACTTCGGACCGCACGTATATGCGCTGAAGAACGAAAGCGCTATTACCCTTTCCGGAGACTAACGCATTCACCACCACACCATGCGGGTTCTATACCAAAAATAGAACTAGCTGAGAGACAGGCGAGAAGTAAACATTGAGCTGATAATGTCAACTTTTTATTTACTTTACTGCCTAATACTATTTTTCACAGCAGGATATTATGTGAGTCACACATTATTAGCTCAATTTTTGTAGCACAGAACAACGCCACTCTTTACGAAAAAATTTTTAAAGAAACTGTGCATATGTCAACATGTCGTGGCGATATGATATGCGATATGAATCATATGGAGTCATTTCCCTTTGATGGTTTAATATTGCGCACAGAGCCTTTCTCCATACTTCTTGTAATCAGTTGATAGCTTATTGAACACAGACGTGACCGGAGTCGACCTGGATAAGACTCTATTCTGCACTGACAAGTAATCCACCAATCTTTTTTCGAACGAATTCACTGACTAGAAATTTGAAAGAGAGGCAACTGTTATTTCAATTCTAATCGCTATAATGAGTCATAGCCATTTCAATGAATCTGCCGACATAAAAATTGTAAATAGACACAGAATAATTTTGTGTTTTCTTGCTGAGCACAAGCGAGGTTGTGATTGTCCTAGTTATTTACGGTAGATTTTGACTAATTTTGCGCTATTCAGAGCATGGAAAAGTGGAAATGACTGCAATCCAATCAGCCAAATATCTCCATAACCTCAACAGAAGAACCGAGCTATTGATCAGTGTGGAAGTTGAAAGTAAATGGGTCATGGAAATTGCATGATACACTACACTCAGTAAAAATACAAAACACTTCCAAATGCTGACAGCATTATATTTGCATGACGGAGTACAGTAAGATGCAGCAAACAGCAGTATACACATCATTAACATCCATAGATCGATATAGTAATGTCTACTCTACAATCCCTGTCAAGTTTACAATCCCTCGAATTCTTCCCCGGCTATTGAAATATTATCCTCTATTATCGGAAGAAAAGAGCAAGGTTAGCGCAGTGGTTAACGGCAATGTCCATCAGGAAGCAAAGTGCTCGTTAGATCCTCTCCTCAAACCCTTCTCCAGTCCAACTAGTAACGCCTTAGCTCGGCTAGCGCTACGATTGCAAACAGAAACGACTCGGCCAGAATTCTACGACATTCGTTAAAAAAAGACGCAATCCTTAAGCAGTGGCCGAAACAACACACGAAATTCATTGTCTTCTTAAACAGCAAACATGAGTTTACTACCACAGCATTTACTAATTCACAATAGCCGATGTTTCGGTGGTTGAGTCCTCTTCGAAGCATGGAAAGTTCAAACTGACACGCAATCTCCTCAGCGAAACACTATCATATCTTCAGCAGACAAAACTTAATGCATAAATTTCTATCCGCCTAATAAACAGCTTCTTTTAAACACTTACCGCTTAGTTATCTGCAAGTCTTAAAGTTATTTAGTGGAGACCAGTCAAACAGAATCGTACATGGGCGAAGGATGCGCCTGGGTCAAGTCAAAGAATCAACCAAGGTATCGCACTAAGTCATGCGTGATCACAAGACACTCTTCCTTGTGGTTCATTTTTGGATATCCGGAATTTCCCCAAAACGCTTCAACAGTTTTACGCACTGATATTTTGTATTACTGTAAGAGGACAGTGAATTTATATGAAGTGCTGAGATATCTGCAAAACTCCGGACCACAGGTGTATGCAGTGGAGAACGAACGCGCGCTGTTGTCCTTACCGGGGAGCAGCGCACTTCACCGCTACACCATCCGGGTCCTTCGCTTTGCATGTATCTCAGCTAGTTCTATCGATCTTTTTGCCATCAGCAATCACCATCAGCAATCTTAACTCTTTTATTTAGATTGTGATTATAACGAGGCCTCAGCTTAACTGGGTTCAATGCCGATATTGGCTCCCCAGATCAATCCCGTTGACGGGTGATTGCTGATGGCAAAAAGATCGATAGAACTAGCTGAGATACATGCAAAGCGAAGGACCCGGATGGTGTAGCGGTGAAGTGCGCTGCTCCCCGGTAAGGACAACAGCGCGCGTTCGTTCTCCACTGCNTTTTGCCATCAGCAATCACCATCAGCAATCTTAACTCTTTTATTTAGATTGTGATTATAACGAGGCCTCAGCTTAACTGGGTTCAATGCCGATATTGGCTCCCCAGATCAATCCCGTTGACGGGTGATTGCTGATGGCAAAAAGATCGATAGAACTAGCTGAGATACATGCAAAGCGAAGGACCCGGATGGCGTAGTGGTGAAATGCGCTGCTCCCCGGTAAGGACAATAGCACGCGTTCGTTCTCCACGGCATACACCTGTGGTCCGGAGTTTTGCAGATATCTCAGCACTTCATACGAGTTATATTTCACAACATACCCTGCCATTAAGAAGAAAAAGGCAGTAAATAAAAGAGTTAAGACAGTGAATTTATTTCAAAATCTTCTTCAAGTATCCCTGTTTTATGCGCTCCTAGTAGAGTATTTGGCTCCACCTAACTTACCGACTAGGTGTCCTTTTATACGAACGCACAGTGCTCTACACATTTCGTCAAAAACTCGTCCCCGGGTACTTTACAAGAGATCTCTTGTAATCACTTGTATCACCTGTCGTGGCGTTGATCGTCAAGTGACTCGGACAGACGCCAGAAAATCTTCCATTTTCCCTGTCGCGTGCAAGAGTAGCCCAGTGGGTTCTGCTTGCTCTAGGGACACGTCGAGCATTATATCTTTCTTCAACACACGCATGCATGAACACGCCTAGCAAATACAGAAAGTATGTGCCAAATCGGCGCAACAGAAACAGAGAGTCCTTACCCCAATTCCGTCTGCGTCTCAGCGAACCAAAAGTCGCTTTTGGTCCGCCATTAACCCCCTATCCGCCACCTGGAGACGAACCACGTAGCCTCGCGACTAGCCGGCTTGAGATCCTTCATGTGAGGGAGATCTCTTGTAAAGCAAACCCAAAAAATTAACCGCAAGGAGGACTGTTTCCTGATCACGCGTAACCTCGCGCTATAGCTCAGGCTGACCTTTTGACCTGAGCCAGCCACATTCTTTGACCATAGAAGACTCTGCGAAGGTGATCTATAACGAATAACTGGAAGATTTACGAAGAACAAAACTGTCAGTGTTTAAAAAAATGCTTAATATGCGAATGAAATTTCATGTTCTAAGCTTATCCTGCTGAGTTCATTAAAGCGTTTTGTTGAGTAGATTGAACGTCAATTTCCGCTTTCCATGCCCTGAAGAAGGTGGAATCGCCGAAATGCCAGCTATTGTGAATTAATGAATGCTGTAATAATAGCCTCGTGTTTGTTTATCTATAAAAGACAGTGAATTAGTGATCAATGCCGACGTTAAAAAAAAATTAGTCTTGGGATTCGCAACAAGCGAAATGTTCGAAGACCTTTGTGGACGATGAATGTGAGGAAATCAAATCTAATGCAAGAAGTGGTGGGATCCGCAAAGTAGACATAACCACGAGTCATGTGAAATAAATCAATAAGTATGATATTCCTGACGAACCACAGAGACCACAATGGCTGAAAATTAAGCGCCTTCACAAGGGACAGAGCTGCTAGACACCGCGCATGGTGAACGCGTTAATCATTTACCTTGCCAGCGGCGAGTATACGGAATGAGTCAATCATTTGTTCCACTGTATCAGAATCGGCAGTCTCCAGAGTCATGAAGTCAAGGAATGCGTCGAATGGCACACGACCCATTCGATTTGGATCCACATGGGAAAGAATTCGATGAAGATCAACATCACCCTGAAAATGTTGCAATAACAAATTCAAACATAAAGAATGGTCTGAGAAAATCAGAGTTATTTAAACTAAATCGAAGGCGCTTACTTCTCGTCCAGGTCGAATGTTGTAGCCAATAGAAATAAGACACGACCGCAATTGCTCTGGATCGAGTCCCTGTCTGTCCTTATCGAAATGGTTGAATGAGGCACGGTATTCGTTGATTTGTTCCTCGGTTATTCCTTTACTATCACGCATGAGAATCTATACGAAAATACCATAGGAAAAGAAAATGTCACTATGAATGGGTTAGTTATTTCAATTTCAGCATGTTAATCTTATTCACTTTAGAAAATAAAAATTCTTTAAAAAAAATAAGGTGACTTCAGAAATTAGTGGTGAAGTTTGTTCTAAATATCGCATAACAACAAGTTTTGAACCGTCCGGGTCAAAAGTGGGAAAGAAGTAAGTAGAAGAAAAAATTTAAAAAGCGGCTCTCAACACTTGAAAGACATTGAAACTATTTTTAAACATAAAAAGTCAAAACTTGGTACCAATAAGTGACCAGTACACAATTCGAAGAAGAATGGAGTGGTTGAAGATTTATCACGGATGTCATCAATTACAAAGTGATGACGAAAACCTCGACACACCTGGTTCTCCAATTCACTCATCGTTCTATTGATGCTTGTGATGAGACTCTCCCAACCGACGCGAAGCGATTCCATTGAATATCTTAAACATATAAAGAAACCACAAAACAAACATTATCATCAAAGAAAACGTTCCATACCTGCTCTTTCTGTTCTCAAACACGAAATTTTCTTGCATCTCTTGGTGAATTCTCTCCAATTCGTCCAGGTTAGGTTTGTGGGTAAGCGCATCCTGGTAGATCCCACGCAACTGATATACAGCGTCTTCAAGACGTCCACGTCCGCCGAGTCCAATTGCAAGGACCTTGAAGAAAATCCAGCTTTCACAAGACAGGAAAAAGCACAGTGTTCTTTTCATCTTGAAAACCAATAAAGTAACAACCTCACAATTGCGTTTTCTTTAAAAAAAAATCCAGGGAATAGATTAATTGTACGTGTCATATGAAATCTCAGTGACTAGGAAAGAACAAATGGAGCGATTACTAATAACGTCTCCACTTAATCTGCTGCATAATAAGAAATGGTTTCTTTCCTTCGAAGGACAACAGGATTTCCTTTTTACCATATTGCCCACAAAGTTCGCATCATCTAGTTCAGCACGAAAATAACTATGGAAAAGAAGCTTGCTTCTGATGCTTATAACGTGGCATTTGCTTCTTGACTCTGTAGTAAAGAGTTCAAGAGGTAGTGAGGAAGGGTCAAGTTGATATCAGTCGATATTAGTTATACATATGTGAAAACGGAAGATATCCTCCAGCAGGTTGAGGATAATCCTTATATATTTCGAGATACCACACTGTATACAATACCGTGTCAGAACGTTATTTATACTTAATCACTTAAATGGCCCATGCTCACATATTGTTTGGGAATTACCACTTCATCCATTGGCTTCAACGTCTCACCGCCGACATGGAAATGGTAGAGTTCGGATATGGATTCAATTACGGCAGGAGGTCTTCTTTCCCCATTGGAATTTTGTAATGTTGGTCGAGGGATGATTTCCCTACAACACCTAACCCGCCAGAGCGTTCCAGAATGAGATTTGCTTCCTCATGAGTATGATTCTTCCGCAAAGGCAGCGATTTCTGAGATTACTGTATCCATCTATCAAAGGTGCGGTCCTGTTGCATGCTATTTGAGTGCAGTTTTTTCTGGAATGATGACACTGCCACAGCATTGACAGGTCTCACGAAGTGAAGTTCATTGCCCTTCTACTAATATTGTTTAGTGATCGCAGAAATTCTTGTAACTAGTTGGAGAATCGACCTATACCGATGTAACATCCCGAAGTCGAATAAAAACGGCACAACAAAACGAGTTCCGTGTATAGCATAAATACAAACTCTGAAAGACTTTACCTGCTCGAGTTCGCGCTCGAGCCACGGTCCTACTTGATTCGCCTTCTCCGCAAACACCGTACGAAGACGCTCATTATCTTAAAACGGTTGATGTTATAGGTGTACGGAAAAGATTATGAACTTTAGAACTCACTCTGCTGCCGCCGTAATTCGCTTTGCAGCTGACCATCTCGCCTTGGAACAGCTTGCTGAACTTCACCCCATTTACGGCGGATATCAGCGGCCACGAGGTCTGTGTACGGATTGCGAAGCAGTTCGCGATCTAGGCCGTGACTTTCAACAAGACGTTCGATTTCCTAAATCTATTGACGATCTATTGGAAAAGACATTTAATTTAGTCATAATTTGACACACCTGTTCAATACCCGATATGCTAGCAAACTCCTTGTCAGCGTCTCCTAATGTCGACTTGAACTGATCATGAGCGGTGCACAGTTCTTCGATTTCTCTCATTTCGTGAACAATCACAAGATCAGCTAGATCTTCGCGTGCACCGTCGAGCCAGTTGTTGAATGGAGCAGCTCTGAAATAAGGAATTGCTTAGCATAATTAACTATTCTCTTGATGAGGAAACACGAAGTTGTTATTTTATTCTTTATTTATAAACGAACTGACGTTTAGGCAGATTTCGCCCTTCCTTAGAGGCTAAGAACTAAAGCTGACTGCAATCTACCCCGCCAATCACATCAATAACCAAATAAAGGAAAGACTAAACCATGATTTCAATCACAATGAACATAAAATAGCTACTTCGCACACTTACCTCTTTCTATAAGCCTTTCACTGAATATGCCACGTGGAGACGAACCGCACAGAGTTTACATCAAAGCGTAATGTGCCTCTCAGATTAAGATGTGACTCTTAAATAGTGTGTGAGTCCACACGTGATTATCAGGCTTCTCGGAGAAGATTTTGAAGTAGATGAAAATACTGACTCGCAAAACTCACGAATCATTCTGGATACATTCCATGGACCCGAAAATGAACCGCAAGGAGGAATGCCTCATAATCACGCGTGACCTCACATAGAATTTAAGACTGACAATTCAATGTAAGAGGCACATTACACTTCCATGTGAACTCTGTGCGGTTGGTCTCCACGTGACAAACTCATACTCACACTCAGACTCATAGAAATAAGTGATGGTGCCAAGAAGCCAATATTGTGCTCAGTGTGATTGAAATCATGGTTTAGCATCTTCTCTGTTTGATTATGAAAGTCTTTGGCTGGGTAGATTGCAGTTAACTTGAACTTTCCATGCTCTGAGAATCCGCCGAAACGTCAGCATGTTTATAAATAAAGAATAAAGTAACAACGTGGTGTTTGCACATCAACAGGACGGTGAATTCTTTGATCAATGCCGATTCTAACAGAAAGTCGGCCTTGGGAATCACTTAGCATAGTTTGTAATTAGCAGCCCAATTCAATAATGTAGATGGGTTACTTTTAACAGAATTCTAAGCCCGTACGCAGCGTCAGCTCCTCAGTAAAGAAAACAACACTCCGAGGAAGCGGTGTTCGCTTCGACATTTAAAAATACGGAGGAAATGCCAAAAACAATTCCAAAAACGGAATATTGAAATGTTTGAAACTCTACGGAATCTCCGCGTTGATTTGACATCCGGCAAAAAATAAAGCATTTTCAGCTGAGTCCATCAAGCTTCCTGTAGCTACCACACATTTGACAAGAACAGTAAAAGCAAAGAGTACAGCACAGTCCAGTGCTTTCTGTAAAGCCGTATGTGACAAGAGAGGAATGAATAGAAAGTTTTCTGGTGACTTACCGTCTTGCTCGATGATTAAACGAGATTCTAAGTGGTGTAGAAGTAAATCGGAATTTCAATGAGGACTTGTTAGCTTTAGTGTGGAACAAAAAATCGAGTATACAGATCACGGAGCGCCAAAAACAAAAACAAAATCTTAGAAGAAAAAGATTACGAAAAATTGTAAAGTTGACATGGCCTAGAGAAATGAACCTTTTTGCGAAGTCGAGATAGAGAGAATCGAGACGTTCGGCTACTCGCTCTGCTTCTTCAAGTGTCACTCTTCGTTGCGCAGCTAATTGACCGAGGCGATCCCATTGTGAGCAAATATGCTAGAAAACCAAATCGAACTAAACCATCTGTAATCGAAATAATCAAACTGTCAATTACTTTTATATGTCATACCACCGGATACAGTTGAATAACTAAAAAAAGTAAACTAGTTAAACTGCTAAGGTCATCGTAATAAACATCCTAACATAAAATTCACTGAACTCTCACTCGTAAAAGTAGTTAGTCGGATGCTAATAAAGGTCACTTTTTGGCTTCACATAAAGGATAAAGGATAAAGCTCTCGGCGTTGATCAATTCCTGACGGATGCGCTACGCATTCTACTTCACTAATCATCGTTCGGAGGTGATTGGATGCATATCTGGCCTTTACGATGGCTCGCGGTGGCATACCGATGTATCGAACCAGTGTTACTATCCTCCCAGATAAGTCTGGTACCAATTTGCTGATCCCGGATGGATGGAAGGCTTGGTGGGCCATAGGTGCGGGGATCAATTTCACGTGTGTGTTGTAGGACGTGTGATCTACCAAAACATCTCATCACCATCCAAGAAGTTCAATTGATTCTCCAAGTTCCCATGTCTCCTACTGTTTTACCATGTATCCAAATCCTTTCTTTCCAATAATTTCGGTTATCTATGTGTTACAGCTTGCTTAAGCTACCAGATGTTTGCATTAACTTCCCAAAGCCTCTACGGGGAGTAAATCCAAAGCGGATATTCGCTTAAATGGGATGGTGGGAATCGCAACCAAAACTTGATCTGCAAAGATTTTTAAAGAACCTATGCAGCAACCACCTATTGTGTACAATTTCGCTTTGAAACGATGAACTGCTTAATAACAAAGCACTTTTGCGATTCTTAAATCGCTCGGCGCTTGTTGCTTAAACCTAAGTTAATGCCTTAAACGACATCAGTCTTGAACGGCCTTTCAGAACCTTCTACACCACGAAGAACAATGCTCGACATGTGGGATCGTTAACTGCATCTTTTCCAGGTATAACACGTATCTTTTTTTAAAGTTAGTGATGAGTTATTGCTTTTAAGGGACGAAAAGGTGATAATATATCGAAGATCTTCAATACTTGGTTTCCGTTTAAAACTTTATAGCATGCACAAAGCATAATAATTAATCATTGCCTGAGAGAATGGCAAAAAACGGGCCTTGGTTGGTACTGTGGACAGCCGAGGGTCCACGAAAAAGGTAATGGCGGGTTCGAAACCCCCTGAGGTTTTGAGTTTTCTGTGCAGCTGATTAGACTGACAATTTTTTGCAGTTGAAGCAACACCCCTCAAATGTAATTTTGATATTATGTGTTTGAGCTAGGCTGAATATGAGTTGAGCAAATAGTAAATATGGAACGGTCTCTTGCATCAACTAATAAAAATAATACTAAAAAAAAGATTAACAGAAAACAATTCTAGTTTTTCACGAATAGAGTTCGCAATGAAGAAATTTCATCTACCTGACAACGTGAATTGATTGGTACAATATCCGGATAGCGAAGATTATTGAGCTCTCTGGCGATGAGGGCGATCTGTTCAACACGATCCTGATGCGCTCCAAGGTCACTTTCAAACGCTTCATGGCGCTTACGAAGTGCCTAGACAGTTTAACTGTATAAACCGCCTCATCATTACAAAAATTTTCGCTGGGGTAATATACACCAATGTCATGGTAAATGTGAGACTTTAATAGAGTCAACCCTCGGATATCCTCCATCGAATAAATTGATATTGTGCATATAAGATTGTACTAACAAGCGTTAGTACACGTCAACAGCCTTTTGTAGTCGTTTGTGGAAATGTAAAGCTAAAATGGAGACTAAAAATAGCGTGTTCCAACCTCATATATCCCAAGAAATCTATCATTCCAGCAAAACTGTGATACGTGTCTGAAAAGTGGACAAACAGCTTAATAATTTCACGAATTCTACACATCACCAACAGAGCGCTAAAAGACTTCCTCTAAACGAACAAACTGTGAAGCTTTTTAGTTAAGACATCTTACAAACATTTCGTCTTCGTGATTCAGATGAACCCATTTTATAAAAACAAAGTTTAGATGGAGCCAATGATAAAAGGAGAGGAAACGACAGAAAGTGGACCAGAGAAGCCATGGAGATGTCCACATTAGTAAACTTAAAGGCAGTTCCCAGCACTTCTTGCATTCGATTCGTTTCCTCTGATCCGTCATCCGTGAAGATCTTTGAACATCTGCGTGTGGCTTCGGCTGTTGCTGCTTGAGGATTTCCGTCCTTCTTATGAAATTGTTGAATACTGGTGGAACCGATTCCCTCTACAGTTCTTAGATAGCCAGGCTACAGGGTTCCTACTTGGACTGCTGGAAGCAGACTATTTTCATACAAAACTGCTACAAATTTCTCGAACCCAGATGTATGTGAGGCTTGATAAGCTTGAACTTTCGATGCGTACCTTTCTGACACAGAAATGGAAACTTCGATATGCATGGACGTAACTACAACCATGACTTAAAGCATCCGAAGAAACAAAATGGTTTGAAAGTGCGTTGGCATCACGAAGAGAAGTGAAGACAATGCTGTTCTTGCATAAGTTTGCAAGAAGGCACATTGCATATGCTGACTTTTACGCAAATAAAATGGGTTATCATCAGGATACCTCTCGGTCTGACAGCTTATGCCAAGTCAATCCCATGAATCGAGGAAATTTTATGTTTCGCAGAATGGCATGTCGATATGCCCACGTACAAGATATTCTAAGCAGCATTTATGCTACAAATGACGCTAAGAATACTGATTTTCGCTATTTTCCCGATAAGCACACACGAAGATGTTAGCACATTCTTCATCCACACGAACTGACGTTTCGGCCGATTTCGTCTTCTTCAGACGTCGAGTTAACTCGAAAGTAGTCAGCGAAATACCTCTGTAACCACAAAAGAAAAACCCCGAAACCAAGATTTCCATCGCATCGAAAGCAAATTAGCTTCATCCCCACCCCACAGTCATCGCCTGGTGACTGTTCAAAATATGTTCCTCACAAGTGAACGACTACATGGGAAATAGTAATTTTATTCTACAAGAGCCGACACCACACATTGTGTGGAATCCCTGCATTCTATTCATTTCCTCGCATCATTGTCACAAAAATGTTTTAGGATTTTGCATGGAAATTCGAGTGCTGTTTGGGGATTTTTTTGTTTTCCATTAATGTTATGATCACAAACAAGTCCGGTACCAACTTCATGGTACTGGACAGATGGGAGGATTGGCTGGCCCCAGGGGTAGGCTCGAACCAGACCTAGCCTATCCTACCCACCTTGATCTTGTACAGACCACAGCTCTTCCAGTCTTGGCTACGCAATGCCTCCTCTTTACCATGAGCCCATTCCTCGTGCAAGGTACACTTACGACGAAATTTCTCAGCAAGATGTTCGAGACGTTCCAAGCTGTAATTAAAAAACAGCTATAGTACCTCATTTCATATGCAAAAATGAAACCACATTCGACACCCGTACCGCATGATTTCGCTAAGTAACCATTCCTCAAAGCCTTTCTCAGAATCCTCAAGGTTCTTCCATGCATTACTAATGTCCTAAAAATAACAAACAGTTCTTACTAACTTCTATACTTCCAGAACTCCATAAAAAATAAGAAAGCACAACCTTAACGAGATGTCCATCTCTAGGAAGAAATGCTGGTCGATTTGAGAGTCGAAGACGAGTCTGAAGCGTATTAAACAACGTCTCTAGTCGGCCCTTGTCTTCAATACGAGGTGGCTTCTCGTGTCTAAAAGTCACTTCAAAAAAAGGTCAATGAATGCAAATATGTGAATCGATAGCCATGGTTTCCTCAACTACAACTTGCAAAAACTTCCGGAAACACCAGCCGATTTTATGACTACCATTCCTCACCTTCTGTAATTACGGTAGTCATCGAGTTTCTTTTGCGCCATCGCCAAATTATCATCGGTAGTTCTGTTTGCTAACCATGGCATCCAGTGGTTTATCCAGGCCAATAACTAAAACATAAGCAGAATCCCTCCACGCCACTGAATCCTGCGTCAGTGACTTAATACTTTTCTAAAGCACTATTACCAGTTCAAACGTTGCACGAATAATAGAAAAATATATTAATGTTCAGCCAATTTTGAGGTCATGATCGTTTTCGCTTGCAAGTTCTCTTAGACAGAATGCCTACTGTTACTCGCAACAATTAGAAGACAACTGACGAGATTTGCTTTAAAAAAAAAACTAAAGTCAGGAAAATGATTGTGAATGGCCTGAAATAAGCTTGCTTCCGTAGTACAATAGCAATTAATGAAGTTTCTAAGCATAAGACTGCAGGTTTCGCAAGATGATTTGAAAGCACTGAAGTTAGAGAGTTATAGGAGTAAATGTGGACTTAAGCAAAATTATAAACACAAGTTGTAATCTGGAAAGCGATTTTTAATATACCAGTTTCATCATCAGAAATTTCTGGGAGGTGCCCAATGATAACCCGAAAAAGAAGATGTGTTTGTTCACGAATTCCAGCAGCAGTAACTGCGACAGATGTCATGTTGAATGACTCCAAACAAAGAGTAAGATGTAAAAAATCCAGAATTCTTCTACTCTAATCGGAGATTTAAGATAGTTTCAATGAAACAAAAGCTTCTCTTCCTCTAGCAATTACTAACATCACTGGCAAGATGTTCATATTCTTGCATCATCTTCTCGTTCTCCTGATTAACTTTGAGAACGCGGCAGATTCTGTTCGCAGCCGTTTCTGCCTAAATAAAAATTTAAAAAGGGTACTACGTGGACAGAAATTTTCAGCATTAAATAAAAGTCTTGCTGAACATGAAAGGAATTTCGAAATTGGACAAACTTCTTTTAAGAATCGAAAACTTTCGTTGATCAGTAACAGTCTACCCATCCATAATTTAAGCGCTGAATTTCAGAAGCGCCGAAAAAATGGAAGGTAAAGTTGTTCAGCAAAACTTTGTAGTAAAGTGCAAAGCCGAAATTCTGTAAGTTCACAGCAGACAACGAAACAAAACCAAAACTTCACAATTGGACAAAAATGTGACTATTAATCAACAGCAAGAAAAAAAGCAGAGGATTTTCTTGGGTCCTGTTCACGGACCTTGCGCATTCCACTGAAATAGTGATAGTAGCATGACACGTACGTCATGACGGCTTTCTCGTCAGGATGAGAATTCACCATGTCTGAAAAGATCACCTCAAACGACACAGATGCTAGAATAAACACACAGAAACATGATGTTAGTATTAGAGAAAAGCTCAGTTTTACGATATTGGATTCGCGATCGCGACAAACATTTCATCGACGACGGTTAAGCAAAGCCAATCTAACAATCCATACAACGTATGTTACCGTAATCCAGAGAAACTCCAATAGTTTAGTGTGGAAACGGTATTCGAACAGACTTATCAAGTACACGTAATTATGCACTACAAATCCCCAGAAGTAAAATATCTAATTATTGAAGCTCTTAAGTTCTATGTGGATGTTATAATCTAAGCATGAGTTTCTTCTAAGTGGATTGTGATTTTATCCGTTCAAACACTGTTGTTTAGGATTAGTGATCACTCTCAAACTAAACGTCGATCATATCTCAACACTTCTGAACACCTCAAAGCATCGTCGGTTAACGGCTTACATCCTTACGCCAGTCACGTTCCGGTTGTATTGGAATCGCTCGACTCGGTACTGGAGCAGCACGAATCTCTGGCGCGTTGCGGAACGCATGATAAAAGCACGACACATAAGTCATGATGGACTTCTCGTCGGGATTGTTGGCAGTGTCTGGCAATTCCGTAAGTTAAAGAAATTCGTATGCTATCCAGAAAATATAAGTCGGTCACATAAAGCAATAGAGCTGTTCAATGATAATATCAATCACGATTGGAGATATCTTGGTTTATCGATAAGCCTTATTGGTGTCAACTTCCAGCGACCCACTGAAATGACCCGAATATCAGCTAAATTTTGTGACTTGGGTATTGCTAGTCATATCGAGTCGAGTTTGGTGAAGCGGAACTCAAGCGAAGTGATCCCACACGGTAGTGCCCCAGGACGGTTCCTGATTGAGTGCCCATTCTTGATTATTTGTATTAATAGTGAAAGTAAAATTTTACAACAGTATTGTGTGAGCTTCTCAATAAACCATGATACTGATCAGGTAGGAAAATTTGCTTTTCAAAATAATCGGGAGAACCTGGAGAGCTTCTCCAGCAGCTGCACTTCGGTCGGTTGCCGCTTCAGGATCACCTCCTTCCAGTATCAGCATCGACACTGCTTGAAAATTTGGCCACGCTCTTTTTGAAAATCTCTTTTTGAGAATTAAAAAGTCCAGTCATTTATCCCACAATTGTACAATATCAAAAATATTCCATAGCACTCCATCGTTTTCTCTCTCGGCAATTGCGAAGTTTTAAACAACATGCGTTTACTTCCGTTCAATAACACACATACAATACAATCGTAGCTGAATCGTCAACCATATACGACACTGATCAGCGGCTCTTCCTCAGTGGAAGGCACGTAAAAACGGCTCGGAAGAAAGCGATTCTGCCGAAACGTCAGCTACGAGTGTGTTGTATGTGTGTTTTTGTATGGAAGTAAACGTATGCTGTTTAACAACCTCGTGATTGCTGAGAAAGAAAACGACGAATTCATAATCAAATGTCGAGGTTAATAGAAAGTCGATCCTGGGAATTCCATACCAATGCTAGTTTGAAGCAAATCCTACTCTATTCGTTTTTGATGAAAACGTAAGGAAACTCCTATGAACCATTCATACAAAAGTCTTGTTATGTACTTTAACTCATTGAATATTTCATCGGCTCTGAGGAAGACAAAGACGTCGAAACGTTAGCCGAAAATAAATATCATTATCAACCTCGTGAAAGCTTATCAAAGAAAGAATACATCACTGAATATTTCCCACAACTCTCAACTTAGATCCTCATATTTCAAAACCAACTTTCCTTTAACCTCGGTGTTACTGATGAACATATATTCTTTCCTTGACAAGTTTACACGAAATTGATTAACAGTTTTATTCCGCTAACGTTTCGACGTCTTCCTCTTCATCAGAGTCGATAGTCCACTGTTCTTCTTCGTCTGGATGTGGCGTCTTCGTCTTCGTATCGAGTTGTGTCTTCGTCAGCGGACCATCTCTCGAATCAGGCATACCCACTCGGTGATGCCCTTTTATGCAGGATTTCATTATCAGCTAACAAAAAGCAATAACAATATTTCAAAACCAACGAAGAAGAACGATGGTCTATCGACTCGGATCGTTAGCTCTAATGAAGACGAAGATGTCGGAACGCTAGCCGAATAAAACTGTTTATCAACCTCGTGAAAGCTCATCAAAAACAGAACACAACATGTTGATTAGATGCTCATAGTAATTTTACTGAGTGAACCGATCTACTTACTGGTTTTAGGAGCTTTGTCGAATTAGGTAAACAGTTTAATAATGGCCAAAATACGAGAATGATTTTCGAAATGACAAATTAGTGCAAAATCGTGAAGACTATCACATTAAGCTAGCAAAAGGCTTACAAAATTAATTAACTACAGCCTTTTTATTTCTTATTATTGCATGAGTTTACTTCACACTACACTCCCATTTTTCACAGAAGTTTGATGGATGACAAAAGGAGATTGTTTCCTAAATTATGGCGTGCCTAGTGCAGTTGCTTGGAGAACGGTTAGGGTGCTATGGACATGATAAGAATTAAGCACATGGGTGAAGATGAATGAATAGAATAGTTAAAGTTCACGATTCTTGCTCTCGTTTTTAAGGAACCATTTTCGAAAAGTTCATGAAACATTTAACTGGGTGCGGCTCTCGTTCTATAATTGGTTCATTAAAACAAGGTTTTATTCTTCATCTCCTGTAAAAGTATTGGTGAAAACCGCAAAGTAATTTTAGGAATGGACGAGAGGTGAATTAAATATTATGCTCACGTTTTACTAACTAAACTAGTAAATCCAGAACACTGATCACTTTCCGAATTCCTCATCAATGAAGTGAACGACAACCCATAACCAATCATTGAGCACTGGAATTATCGCCATCCTACGGCTTTTCAAGATATGTCTAACCAGCCGAGCATCAAAAAGATCAGTCTTTAATTTAAGATCGTCATAAAAAAACATTAGTCGTACCTTCTGCATCCAGCATTCTTGGAATGTCAAGATGCTTCTCAGCAATATCAAATGCCAAGTTCAGATTATGAAGTGGATCGCCTTTGTGAAGTTGGTGATAATCGAGCAGCTCAGGTCTAAACAACGGTTACAGATGTGACGAACTGATAGAGCCAAATAATAAACGATGACAGATATCTGGATACAGATTATAAATCTTTGATGTAATGGTAGTGGAAATAAGGGATTTAACACCACCAAATACCGTACCGTCATGATGATGAAGAGAGACTCAGCTTAACTCATTACGGGGATATTCCGTCAAATTCCATAAAATATACCTATTCATTATTGCCAGTTTACTAAATATTTACCTTAAATACCACCTTCCACTACTTTATAGCCGATCGAGAATGTTCATTATGCAATGGTAATAAATTTGCCTTTCCGATCCAGCTGATAAAACACGAAATCATCATAAGTACACGGCTCTGTCGAGCTTTGTTATCTACCATCTACAAATGTCATATACTTGATACCCCAACCAAGGGTGATTGAGGAAATGGAATGCTCACTGAGTAAACTGTTAAACAAATAAATAATCAAGTAGAAGATTGATTATTCAATTCCTATTTAGTAAATGAATAATTAATGAAAAGAAAGGAGTAGGAGAACTGGACAAACTAAAATACGTGTAGTAGGCGAAAAACAAGTCAATGAGCAAGAAACAGAGCAAAAAAATAGTAGAGAAATGAGAAACATAAATGACGAACGGATTAACAGATAACGAAAAGACAGTCAGTAAGTGGCAACTAAGTAGTAAATTAAAAGACAATAGATGACAAATAAAACAAGCAAGTAAAAAAGTCGAACAAACCAGGGGGAAAGGAATATGTGTATAAATAGAAAAAATAAATAAAAAGGTAAATAAAGAAGTAAAAAAGCTAACCTGTGCCTATGAATGAGAGCACAAAATGCGAGGCCATCCTTCCACGATGTGTGGAAGTTCTGCACGTTCACATTGTTGTACGGTGCTGTCTTACGTTGACACCATAGAAGAAGACCATCACGAGCGGAAAGTTCTAGAACATATCAAGACCAGTGTGCGGTATTGTACTGATAACTTTGAAACTACATGGACAGAAAAGGAGCGGTTAGCGATGTAGTCAGAGGGTACTCTGCAATACACACATGTGCTTAGGTTCGATTCAGTGAGCTGGGATAGCCAAGCTCATCGTCAATGTCACATCGACGTCGACACCCTGATGCCACATTTGTATGAAAGGACAAAAAACTACGAACTTGGTAGATTCACTGGTGATCCCAAACAATTCCATGGGTCATATAGGCATTCAATTACCTCTACGGTGCTACGAATTGAGTAGGATGCGTAGCACATACATGAGGGATTCATCAGCACCGAAATCTCTATTCTTTATTCTTTATGAATGGAAAAAAAACTCTGCTTTGCGTTAGAATACTATGGCAACAACAAACAAAGGAACCTTTAGAGGAAAGATTTATTTGAACCAGTTATCGTCAGGGAGAATCATGAGAAGTCCAGGTTAAAAGAAATGCTCAATCATCAAAATTTTATTCAAATGGAAATTGAGATGAAGCTTGTACGATTCGTAAAAATGCGCTGTAGAAGTACTTAAACAGACATGTAACAAAAAATAAAAGAAAGAAAGGGCAGATAAGCCTAAAACTTGCAATCGATAAAGAACACTGCATAAAGGCCACTTACCTTCAACATTGATATCTTGGATAGCAAAGCGAAGAATAATAGTCCAGATTAGTCCAAGTGTCATCTTCACATTGCCATCAACGATCTCTGAAGAAAAGAAAAAACTACAAATCATGATTATTGCCATAGATATAAAAAAGGCTATCACAGACACGTGTGACACAGTGGTCGGAGATGCCTTGCAATTAACACGTGGAGTCGATCCCCGCGCCCCAGACACACCAAGCCTTCCATCCCTCCGGGGTCGTCAAATTGGTACCAGAATTGTCTGCGAGGATAGTAGCTCTGGCTCGATAGATCGATAGGCCACCGCCGTGATTTATTGTAAAGGCCAGATATGCATTCAATAACCTCCAAACGATGCTTAAGGAAGTCGAATGCATGACGCATCCCTTAGGGAATGATCAACACCAAAAGCTCTATCCTTTTATTATCACAAACGCAAGATAGTGTAAAATATAACTTTAGTTTGAAGTAAAGCACTTTCACAACGCCCAGTTTTTAGGTCAGCAGCTGAGTTTTGAGCAAAAGAAAAAAGTGAAGATATATTGCGTCGACTTTTATCTAATGATGTCAAAGCTCAAACTTTTCTACGATAAACGATTATTTTCGGACGAATACATGTACTCAAAAATTATAAAGCTTTTGTGTTGGGTCAATGCTCAGCATTACTTTACTATTCTATTCGATCCTACTCGAATTAGATAGCTAAATGAGTGCCCTAGTGATCCATAGTCTTTTAGTAAGAAAAGAGGCTCCTGTATAGCACAGGGGCTAGAGATACCCTGCAATACACACATGGTCGTTGGCTATGTTTCATGAATAGTACTAAACAAATTATTCATTCATTTTGGTTCAGCACATTGGTACCAGACTTGTCTTGAGAATTAAAACACTGATTTGACACATCGTAGCCTCCTGCAATCATTCATGCATTCTGCCACCTATACGACGTCGAACGCGCGACCTGCATTGGCCACAAACCATTTGATGTAGAAATAATTGTACGTTTCTACTTTAAACCAAAATGTCCCAACTACTGTCGAGCTTTCCTTAAGAATTGTAATTCCAAATATCGATCTATGACCACCAACATGAATCAACGCGGCTCTCAAGAAGGCGAAGGCGTCGAAACTTCAGCCGATTAAAACTTTTTGAAACCGACCTCCTGTCAGCTCAATTATCTAAAGAACTATCTTGATTCTAAAAATGTTTAAAATCGAAAAAAATACTGTGTTAAGACTGCACGTACAACTGAGGTGGAACGAAAGGTCTCTTCCTTAAATCTATACAGCTGCAAACCTCTTCAATTCTCTTATCAACGAGAAATCATCGTAAGTTCTCGAAAAACGAGCTGTGTTAATGAACGCGAATGATGCTACTATAGCGGAATGTGACAAACATCGAGGGCTTTTTTAAGCTGCCAAAAAACTCATCACCCACCCTCAGCACCAATTGACACCAGCTTTACGCCCTTGCTTTCAATATACTCGAGAGCTTTGTTCACATTGGCGATCTTATGAAAGCGCATTTTTCCACGATCCGGTCGTGGCAGCGGTTCGCCGGAAATCACCTCCAACAACAGCATCAATTTCAGACCTAGGAAGATGAAATTGACTATTAATTCAGAAAAAGAACACTATACAACAAGTTTCAAAGAATCTACTTCCTATACCATTTTTTTCTCTTACATTGCATTCCAAAATATGACCACCCTCCCAACGCATTACCGCCTCATCGCGGCTGGGAGGTGTTCCAGGGTGACGGATTGCGATGTACAGCGAGGAGATTCGTCTCCCCGGTAGTCTCCCAAGCTGAGAAGGAGTCCAGCGTTTCCATCAGGAAGGCTAGCTAAGAGTAAACCAATACCAGGATCCACCACCGTCCTGGTATCAAAGTGGCATGGTGGCAAACCTCCCTCTGATCCACGAGAGCTGCGAGTGCCTGTGGTGGTGAAGACCTGAGGCAGACTCTGGCCAGGCTGACCTCGGGAGTCCAGGGAACCACAACGGGTAGGCCAGCAAAACTCCGAAAAGACGGAAGTTCTGCTGGAGCTCGCACGACCAGTGAAGACGGGCCATTCGAGTATCCAAGTATCCAGGTATGACTACTTTCGGAAAACACTGTACAAGTATTTTATAAAGTTGGCGACTTCAAAAGAAGAACTAAATTACAGAAGGTATAATTCTTCCGAAAAAATCCCATTTTTTTGCAAATACAGTAAAGAAAAATGAAAATTTCAGCAGACCGTTTCTGAAATCCTCTTCGATCAGATCGATGCTGGTGCCGGCTTTCCTCAAGTGCGAATTACACCATGCCGTGAATGTCTGCAGGAAAAGTAGTAATTAAGAAAAACCTAGAAACTAACTAGTTACAAATTAAGAAAAAACTGCCTGAAATGAGATAAAAACCACTAAAAGACATTAAAAAGATGCTGGTCGTATGCCATTAAGACCATAGAATGGAAAGATACAACGTGTTACAGTGAGCTAAGCACACGCTAGTTCATTAAGCGTTTTCGTTATTTTTCATTTCCTGCTTCTTTTTTCGACTTCATGACGAAAAAACCTCAAAGGTAAGATAGAATATGATGTAAATTTTTTAAAACTACTCCACTGGTCACCTCGACAAAGAAAAGATGAAAAGGTCAAAAAGTAGTAAAGGATTAAGAATAAAGCTCTCGGCACTGATCAATCTCTGAGAGATGCGCCATGAATTCAACTTCATTAAGCAGCGTTTGGAGATGATTCAATTCACATCTGGCTTTCACAATGAGTCGTGGTGGCCTACCAACCTATCGAGCCAGTGTTGTTATCCTCTCAGACAAGTCTGGTATCAATTTGCGGAGCCTGGAGGGATGGAAGGCATGGTGGACCATATGTGCGGGGACCGACTCCAAGTGTGAGTTGCAGGGCCCTTCCGACCACTGCGCCATACGTACTCTTCAAAAAGTAATACTCCTCTTTATAACTCTTCACCCAAATAGATTCTATTCTCAGTTATCTTAACATTATAATTACTGGTAGTTTAAAATCCATAGTAAAACAACAGGAAAACAACGGTTGTTCTTTGTTCCATTTCGATTCATTAATCACTTCCTTTAAATGGACCAAACTTCTTGATTTTTTGATGGCAGTGCGCTAATGTTACTGTCAGTTTATAAACATTTCTTTAGGAATAAAAATTGGTAGATAAATTGAATGATGAAATACTAGCGTTTACTGCTCGCTTATTAGGAATTCAGAATAGTAATGAGGAAGAACAAGAATAAAACAAAATATAGCAGGAATAGCAACGAAGAATTTCGATGTATTAGTTCAACCTTCCCAAAATCAACTTACGAAATCTCCACCAGTACCTCAAAATAGCAACTTCATTCATTCATTCACTCCTTCCTTCTCTCTTTCTCTCTCCCTCTCCCCTATGCAAGTTACATCCCTTCTCCCTGTTTTTCCTCTACCTCTCCTGTTCGTAATACCTCCCATCATTTTGCCCCTTCGTAACTTGTTACCGATGGTCTATTCCTTTTCAATTCATCTTTTTCGTCAACATACCTCCATCTTCAACTCTTTTCTGCTCTTTCATTTTCTCACAGTTATTGCCACAGTGCTTATCGCTCCACGCTCACCTTTTTTTGCTGCTTCTCCCAAGCTGGATCCAGCAATCCCTCACGATCCCATTCCTCCTCTTGTTGCGTATAGTCGTAGCCAGACATGTGCTGCTGTTGTTGGTGGAACGCCGGAGGAGCATTGTAGTAGTCCACCATCACTCCTCACCTATCAAACAAATAATAAATAATGAATTTTTTTAAAAAATACAGAGATGTTACAGGAAGAGTGAGTAACGGCAGTTCTTTAGAGAGCAATACGGTTCTGTTTTAATCGACTCCAACTTTCTCATTGACAATCAACTAATAAACGTTTGTTTCAGGTGACGTTGATACAAATTACAGCTTTAGTTTAGAAATGATACGGAATACAAAGAGAACTAATCTAAAGTGAGACGAAAAAGAAACTAAAAGGAAATTCGATGAAAATAACGAAAAAAATTCAACATGATTGGCTCGATCAAAGTAACATTATTCAGCAGAATGAATGCGTCAGTATTCCTAGCAATTAGTGAAAGCACGTCTGAGAGAAAAGCAAAGCAAGGGTCTCGGTTGGCGCAGTGGATAGCACACGAAAAGGTAATCAGGCGTTCGAAGCTCAGTTGAGCTTCTGGGTTTTGACAATATCCCAACAACCTTGTGATAACTAGTAATGATAGAAAAGAGGAGTACCGCCACATAAAAGTGCTCTTAACACTTCGGGTCCGACGTGAGGTGATTTCCACTCACAAGGTGGGAAATCAATGGCCGCTTTCAACTTTAAATCATCATATCTCACATAAAAGTAAAGCCAAATGATTTAAATAGTTGCAATAAAAAGTATATGAATCTAAAGATCTTCATTGCCTACAGAATAAACATGGAGTCCACCGAACGTATTTTGTGCACTCTTCCCGCTGAGGCTCGTATTCAGAAAACCCCTTTCGTTCTCTTTTTTTCCTCGTCTCATTTCTTTAGGTTATCACAAACTATGGAGAAGTTTCGATAATATAAATAAAAGAGCTCGTTTCGAAATACTAGTAAGGAGACAAATGAAAGTTGAAAATGTCGCCAAACAAAACAGGAAACCGATCTGTCATATACTTCCTAAAAAGTAGTTACCCTATTCTTTAATGAAGCAAGATATATGAGATTCGTTTAAAGGAAGGAATGGGATGACAAATGAAAATCTAGCAACAACCTATACATAGCTGGCTGATACTACAGCAGACCATCTGTCAAGATTCGAAGATAAGATTGAATGGCCAGATTCTGCAGATTCACATCTGAAGTGCGCCGACTCCGAGGATACATCGAAATACATCGAAAGCTTTTAACAGAAACCCAGTGAAAAACTCTTTGAAGACACAATCTACCAGAAAAGGAAAGAAAAAGAGACGAATATATAAAGTGACTGAAAAGCAAATCCTTGTTTTAAAATTCTAATAATTTACCTATCAAATGTAATTTTCAAAAGAAATGAATACGAGAAGAGAAGAAAACGTATATCACGGAGTTCTACTCAAATGTCGACATGGACATGCACTGGGTCACCAGCTTCGCAAGCAGCCAGGGAACTGCGTCAGCTGATTAAACCAGGAACTCTTGTAGGATGGAAGACATGACTTCCCGTATTCACACTTTAGTTTTTCCAAACTTGATGTCTTGGTAAAGCAGACTTTCTCCTTTAACCAAAATCATAGGAAAACTCGCAGAATGCTAAGTCAGAGCTGCTGGCTGGTCATTCATCTTACTGGCCACAATGACCCATCCATCTCACTAAATGGCTTTCGAGTACACCATTTACGACCCTCCTTAAGCACAGTTGGTACACAGTAAAAGGGTAGCCCAATTTCCTTTGTTGTCTGTTGAATCAACTTTTCTGGGCTATAAGCACGGATCTCATAACCTGCCACTAGCTAGGTGCCTTCCTGCAGAGTAAGGCGTCCAGCCATATCTACAGAGCTTCAAAATTTCAAAAAAAAAATAGATAGATAGATATCCGAAAATTTGAAGAAAACGATCTGAAAAACAACGATAGATTTAAATCTCAAAACATTATGGGACACACACACACACAAGAAACTTCAGGAAAACACCACAATACATAAATAAAAAGTGATTGAAACTCTGAACTGCAGGTGTCTGCGCTGGGGATCAAATATGATATTACCCTTTCTGGGGACTAACGCATTCACCACCACACCATGCGGGACTACTGTACTATAATGACGAAGGAGGTTTTGTACTAACTAGCAAAAAAAAGCCCAATTTTTCCAGTAACATCATTAAGTAGCAACCCAGATAACACGTGGAATTTTCGAAAACCTTCGTAGACGATAAATGCGAGGAAATGAAACAAATGCAAAAGAGTCATGTAGTGAACCATCGTTTTTCTTGATGAGCAAATACGGACTGTTATCATAAAAGGATAAAGGACAAAGCTCTCGGAGTTGATCAATACCAGAGGGATGCGCCATGCATTCAACTTCACTAAACATCGTTTAGAGGTGACTAAATGCATATCTGACCTTTACAATGACTCTCGGTGGCCTACCGATGCATCGAGGCAGTGCTGCTATCCTCCCAGACGAGTTTGCCAACCCCGGAAGGATGGAAGGCTTGGTGAGCCATGAGCGTGGAGATCGATCTTATGTGCATCTTGTAGGGCGCTTTCGACCACTGGGCCACACGCGCCCCTATTGTTATCACATTATTTATTAGTACAAAGTGACCGACGTTTTCGCGGTTTCGCCTTCTTCAGAGCCGTTTTGCTGCCCTTAAGTCCCTTCTTAGGATTGCTCCCTCCTTCTCAGGATTTAAGAAAAGCAAAACGGTTCTGATGAAGGCAAAACGACCGAAACGTCACCTAAGGTGTATCAGTATAAACTATAGTAATAAACTCGTCTTTGTTCATCAAGAAAAACAGTGATTTGTCGATCAATGTCGAGGTTAAAAGAAAGTCCGTATTTGGTCATGTAATAATAGTAATAATAATAATGATAATAATAATAATATAATCTTAACTCTTTTATTTACTGCCTTTTTATTTTTAATGGCAGGATCTCCCCGGAAAGGACAATAGCGCGCGTTCGTTCCCCGCCGCATACACCTGCGGTCCGGAGTTTTGCAAATATCTCAGCATTATATACGAAAAATAATATATTTCAAAATGGAGAGTTACTATCCAATTATCCAGTAAGCAAATTTAAACTTACTGTCACAGACGGTTTATTGAACTTAACAGCATGAAGAAAATCATGAATGGTGGCAAATAGTGTGATGGAGACTTAGAACGAATCGTAACGAAGCTCCATTTAATCCGGATGTCTTTGATTTGTGAGACGATATCTTAGCGAGAAGGATGATTGTTAACATTTCGTCAACGCTGTTGCTATCCTCTGAAACCCTGCCTCTTCCAGAAAAGGTATTATTGAAGGAAAAACTTTGTATAATGAGCAACTGGTGAATGACAAACGAACAGGGACGATGAATGGCAATGTTGGCACGGTAAACAGTGGGAAGATTTGTGTTCGCATGCCATCATCGTCTCCCAAAACCGCTTGATTGTTTCATCGAAAACAAAACGAAGGAAAAATGCACTTGTAAAGTAACCATCGACATGACAAATAATGAAAGAAATTCGTGAACGTTCGAATAGCGCTCGAATCGAATCGAATATTCGTGCTTATCGGAATTTCGAATATTTTGGTAAAAATAAGGTTTTCTCATACCGTCATAGAATTCCCAAAGTTAAAGTATCGGTTTTGCGCGGTAAAATAACGAGCAAAAAAAACATTTCGATTATTGTTAACTACAGAGCACTCGAGCAATAATTTTATACCGAATGGTGCGGTGGTGAACGCGTTAGCCCCCGTAAAGGGCAATAGCGCGTTCGTTCCCCACCGCAGACACGTGTGGTCCGGCGTTTTGCAAATGTCTCAGCATCGTTGTGGTAATAATTTTACAGTTTTCAATTCTTTCAAAACTTCAAATCTCTCTTGCAATAATGGCAAGAACACACGGCTGTGGACAATCGAGTCGTAGCTCTGAAGAGGAGCTGTCGAAAGATTAGGCGAAAAAAATTTTGACAACAATCTCATGTTGGTTTGTGAACGAAGGAAACAACGCAGCACTCAAATTTTCGAGAAACAACTACTAAAAATGGAAAAAAATAAAAAATGAAAACGAAAAAACAACTAAAACAACAAAACTAAAAAAAACTCTTAATACTGACTTTCCATTAACATCGGCATTGATCGAAAAATTCAATGTATTCTTGATGAGCAAACAAGATGCTGTTGACTTATTCTTTATTTATGAACAAGCCGATGTTTCGGTAGATTTCGCCTTCTTCTGAGCCTGGAAATGTCAGGTTGATTGCAATCTAACCATCTAAACACTTCCAACCCAAAACAGAGAAAACACTAAACCAATATTTCAGTCAAGCTGAAAGCAAAACAGATTCTGCGATTGAAACCTTGGCTTGGTATCTTCTCAGTTTTGGTTATGGAGGTGTACGGCTAGATAGATTGCGGTCAACCTGAGCTTTCCAGGCACTGAAGAGGGCGAAATCTGCGAAAACGTCTGCTTGTTTATAAATAAAGAGCAATGTTAGGAGTTCGCGTTTGCTCATCAAGAATTCGGTGAACAACTATTTCATTTCCTGCATGTTAAAGGTTCAGACTGTTCGAAAAAAAAAACGTAAAGGAAAAAACAAATCGCGACAAATCTTTAATAGCGCTGTAATCGCCGAAAAACGTAGGGCACTACGGACGTCGATAAAATCGACAAGAAGAACCACTCGACATCAACGCAATCAAACAGAAAGATTTGTGTGGACTATGACGACGGACTGCGTGTGTGTGTGTGTGTGTGTAGAAGCAACCACAGTAAACACAGATAGAGTAACAGAGTAAAGGAGAAGAAGGAAGGCACGAACGGTTCGCACAGAAATAGAAATGATTTCAAACGGCATACATTTACTTTCATAGAAAAAGACAATACAATACAACGCTAGCTGACGTTTCGGCAGTATCGCCTTCTTCAGAGCCGCTTTTTCGTGACTTCCAATGAGGAAGTTTAGAACAGCTGATTATAGTCGCATGTGGTTGACGACTGCACCATCCCACATATCAGTATACCCTTCCAGGCTCTGAAGAAGGCGATACTGCCGAAAC